TATCAAGTCACGCAAGCTGAGGTCTTGTGCCACTGTGGTCTTGTTGCAACTTATACTTTGCCATCCATCTATTCCATGGTCGCACCCATATCTGTAAGATAATGGATACAGATAAGAGTTTTCATAAAATCTAACGATCAAGGAGTGTGAAATTTAGGGCTGGGCATTTCGATTTCAGAATCGAATCGAATAATTTTTTCGAATCGAATCTCGAATACTTGAAAATATAAAATTGTAAGCGACTTTATCATAGTAATTGGTCCTCTCAACAAATGAATTATTGAAGACATAGAATAAATCACTCAGATAGATTACTGAGCGTTCACACAGAATAACAAACACGTTTTATCAATAACTCACTACAGAAAATAGTTATATGTTAGAATTTCGTTGAAAAAATATGACTTCAATGAAAAAAAAATTGGGGAATTCACCTCGACCATTAGCGGAAAGATAAAAACAAGATGGCGGCGATTCGAAATTCCAGTCTGAACCGATTCGAATAATTTACTATTCGATTCGAATGGAAATGCCCAGCCCGGGTAAAATTTATGTCCATATCCCACCACAGCCACTAGTCGTAAATGAATTTGATTCCGGGTAGGTAGCATATCTTTTTTACCAATGACAATAAAAAGACATTTTGAATCAGTTGTACAAGCACCATTAGGATAGGATTTATCTGGGGGGGGAGCCAGTTATTTGTTTTCAGAAGCATGGACTTGGATGGTGGGGAATGGTCGTAACCGATCAGCGGCCATGTGAACCACCCTCGGTGGGAGTGGAGCTGCAATCCTCTAGCACAGCGATTCCCAAACTGTGGTACGCGTACCACCTGTGGTACGCGAGAGTCTTTCAGGTGGTACGCGACCAACTTTCAATAATTTGCAATGTTGCGTTTCAATTACCTTTAATTTGTGGTTTCGCACGTCTATGAAGCAACACTTATTTTGTTCAAGATGATCAAACGCCAATTACCAACTTTCATGACCTTTGACCGATGCTGTCAGCAAAATATTTGGCGGGAACGCTCTCCTTACCGGCCGTCTCAGACTACGTACGGTTGCTATTCGTACTTGCTTTCAAAAGCCTGCGGTGTGTGAATATTGCGAAATTTTGTTTAATTCAACTATTGACAACATGTCTAAACGAAATTACAGTCCAGCTTACATAAAGTACGAATTCATAGCTATTGAACACAACGGAGAAGTTTTGCCGCAATGTGTAGTGTGCATGAAAACGCTTGCTAATTCGGCTATGAAACCAAGCTTACTCCAACGACATCTTGACACAAATCATCCCGACAAGAAGGATCGAAATGAGAGTTTCTTTCAGCGACTGGGCGAGCAAGTGAAACGACAGCGCTTCGACAACACTGGCACAATTTATCAGAGAAAGAAGTGTGCTGTCAAGGCATCCTATGAAGTCGCTCTCCTGATAGCAAAAAATCAGAAAGCACATACCATTGGAGAGCGCCTCATTATGCCAGCTGCAAAGATGTTAGTAAAAAATGTACTTGGTGAAGAGGCGGCTGCAAAGCTAGTAAGTGTTCCCCTCTCCAACAATACGGTTAAGAATAGAATAGAAGAGATGTCAGTCGATATTGCTGAGCAAGTGATTTCAGGAGTGAAAGATTCAGAGTATGGTTTTTCCATTCAATTGGACGAGTCGACGGACGTAACAAATAACGCACAGTTACTTGTGTATGTTCGTTATACACAAGAAAAGGCTGTAAAAACTGAATTACTTATGAGCAAAGAACTTTCAGGTACAACAAAGGGAAAGGATATTTTCGAAGCATTAGACAGTTTTTTCAAAGTGAATAAACTGGACTGGGGAAAGTTGATTGGCTGTACAACAGATGGAGCTCCATCAATGCTAGGACATAAATCAGGCTTCAGAGCTCATGTGACGGCTGTGGCGCAAAACGTGACTTTTGTTCATTGTTTTATTCATAGATTCGCCCTATGCGCGAAAGTGCTACCTCAGCACATGTTATCATGCTTGAACCGAGTTATCAAACTAGTAAATTTCGTCAAAACATCTGCTCTGAATACTCGGTTGTTTAAACTTCTTTGTGAGGATCTCGGTTCTAACCACAGCTGTCTCCTCTTCTATACGGAGGTGCGCTGGCTCTCTCGTGGTAATGCAACAAGGCGCCTGTTTGAACTGCGACATGAGCTTCTGCAATTCTTCAAGGAGAAGAATCACGATTTTCAAAACGACCTGGAGAGCAAAGGTTTTCTTACTAGATTGGCATATCTATCAGACATTTTTGAAGTTCTGAACAACTTTAACCTGTCGTTTCAAGGACCCAATCTAACTGTAACAGATTTCATTTCAAAGCTTAGAGCACTCATTCGTAAGCTGGACCTCTGGACATGGAATGTTAGCAATCAAAACTACGGAATGTTCAAATGCCTCACTTCTGTTGAGAAAAATCCTGATGGTGGCATTTCTAAAGAAATTATTGATCATCTTTCGCAACTAAAGACGGAGCTATTGAATTACTTTCCTGATGTTGCATACTGTGCTTACTCCGTCAACCCATTTTTCATTGATCCGGTTGATGTGCCTGTAGGGACCGGGGAACAAGAAGAACTAATAGACATTCAAACTAATGAGGCAGCAAAAATAAAACATAAGGAATGTTGTCCAATCAATTTCTGGTTGAGCATGGCATCATCGTATTCTAACCTAGTACGTCACGCTGTTTCCCAGCTATCGATTTTTCCATCTACGTGGGAGTGCGAACAAGGGTTTTCGGCTTTGATGGCCATCAAATCGAAAAGCCGAAATCGTCTTGGAACGCCAGAACATGACTTTCGATGCGCTGTCAGCAAAGCTCTTCCTCGCATTGACCAGCTGGTGGAGAAAAAACAACTACATCCATCTCATTAAAATTTTTAATTGGCTTCATTTTGTTTAATTTATGGTTTTTATCTCTTTCTGGAATGACATTTGTCAAATCTTAATGCTGCTACATGCTCAGTTTTCTTATCTACAGGTGCATAGTTTATGGTTTGAGATATTCTAGTCAAGTGTAACTTAGGTGGTACGCGAACGCTGCACAAAATTAAAAATGGTACGCGGGAATGAAAAGTTTGGGAACCACTGCTCTAGCACATAACTATCCCCGCATGGGATTGAAACCTGTGAAACTACCAGGGTGATCAGAGATGCGGTGGCGAGCGTATTCCTAGATGGCGAATTAAATTGAATTCTGGTTATTTTTTGCATGACCAGTGGTGTTAAACTTTAGTTATATATTCAACCTTTCACACCTAGTAATAGATTACCTGCTAATCAGGAAACAATACCTTCTGTCAGACCTTACAGCAATTGATTATTAATTCCTTACTGTCTTACACAAGTCAAGTCTGCAACTGCAAGTAGGCCCACGCCTAGGCCTACTGATAACAGTAGTTTGTCATCTGCTTTCCATTGAAATGAGGGAGCTTGTGAATATTTAAAGAAATTGATAACGGCACACTATCACCACATTATCACTCACCATCAACGAAGTGCTGTCCGCAAACAGTGAAACACAAGAAGATGGCTTCTGGACTTGACACCAAGCAGTTAGGATAGGATAGGATTTACATATTTATCCCGGGGGAGAGGAAAGCCGATAGGACGGCTTATCCATATGGCGAACCACGGCCTCTCGTCCGGTTACCATTCCAAGTCGGGTATGGGATTAGTTTTACTGTATTGTTTGTTTTCGGAAGCATGGACTTGGTGGTGGAGGAAGCCGTAACCGACCAGCGGTTACGTGAACCACCCAACGACGGTGAGGAGTCCAGCAATCCTCTCGCACATAACCATCCCTGCATGGGATTCGAACCTGCGAACCCAGGCAGAGTAATTAGAGGTGCGGTGGCGAGCGTATTCCTAACGCTTAGCCCGTTGAGCCACACCGCCGCGCCAATAGGCAATAGATGATATCCACATTGCGCGACGTTCAGGATCTTTTGAAATCAGTGGAATATTACTGAAGATCCATTTCGTCCATGTCTATACTATACGTACAGCCAACAGAACAACGAAATAACCATTTTCAACAACCAAACAAAACGCAAACGTATAATCCGACTTGCAACTGACAGGAGCCAAATGGACGTTTTTGTTTTATTGCCGTCCAGTAACAATGTCACGTGACCCGTGCAAGTCCTCTATATTCAATAGTTTGCCATGCCCAGATCCAACACGTTCACACGTCTCATAACGCATTTAAAATCTTGCATGTTGTCGAACATTCACAAATCTGATGGAAAAGATCATAAGTAGCATGGTATGTTGTTTCCTGAAAGTAACAATCGTAATATGCGTGATAATCGTTGTGAGCAAAAAATATTTAGTTCGATTAACCGTTATTAACTCGAACGGCATAGAACTGACGCTACTCATTACAAAACAAGCGTCATACAGCAGCACTTATCACATAAATCTGTGTGTAGACAATAATAAATTTAAGATCAATTTTTGTTATATGTATTAAATGTCGGGTCGTTCGAGGGCGGCAATAAATTAGCTCGCGGGCCGCAGTTTACCGACCAATTTTTTGTCACTGTGTTGTTTTTGCAATGAAATTGAACTAGGCCTACAGCATCACCGTTTTGCGCCAGGGAGTGTTTTTTTGTTGTTCCCTGTTTTTGTAGGAAAAGCATTGTTGTGTTACACATACACGTCTCACATTTTAATTTAAAAGATAGAAGTTTATTGCATTCAATTATTTACTTCAATTTGCTGTTTTTGAATCGCGTTTTTCTGTGTTTGTTTTATTCTTTTTTGGTAGGCGGGCACGTAAATTGTACGCTTTTTTAATTTTTTTTAAGTTATGCTCGTCTCCCAGGTATCACTGGATTTTGTTTTTTTTGCTTACTCTTTGTATTGTTTATGTCAGAGAACCAAAATAATCCAATATAATAAATGTCTCTTACGTTTGAATCTGAATTCGGACGTCATTATCGGGCTTTCAATACTGTCAGGCGCAATAGGAAAGGTCTATCGTATGAAAATCCTATGTATAGACATTGTTTCCATAATTTCCATGTACATTGTTCCATGTAATTTCAAAATTTGGCTTATTTGGTTATTATAACCAACTTTATTCTAACAAAACTTCATACACCGCCAGTGATTACAGACAGAGGTAAACCAAATCCGTATAGGTAAACAAACCTCACGGCGGGAAATTTCTGCAGAACATCTATCGGCCGTAGGTTACTTGATGTAATTGTTCTGTTATTAATGCAATGTTAATGAATTTATGGAATTGAGCAGTGAATATATCATCGATCGGATTCTTACTATCTGTGAATCCGGTCAAGATATTGTTGCTGAAATAGAAGGAAATACAGAGGAATCAGACGAGTTATATTCATCGGCCAAGACAAGGTTTGTTTTAATTCATGATTTCTGCCAGTCTCATGGGTACAGTATAGCGAAGCAAACGCCATAACGGTTTAAAACATCAAATAAAATGCGATGTCAAAATACCTGGATACAGCCAAAATTTTTATTTTAACTTAAGTTAAATAAAAGTTCAGAAGTCTGCATTCTTGTTTCCAAATTAGACATAAAATGATGATAGATAAAAATCAGTTAATGCAAACCCCACTGTCCCCTTTTATGAGACAGTATAGGCCTGCATATCGCCACAAGTCAACTTCGCAATGAATTAAAAGATGAAGGAAGTGCTACAATCTACAAACGTCAGTATTAAATTCCTCAGAAAAAATAATCCGATCTACCGGAGAAAATCTTTTTACTGTAGCATTCAGTAATTTTCAGCCAAAAACGTAATATTGGTCATGTGACAATAAAACATGGCTGGTCTGCATCGTGCCAGACACCCTTGTTTGAGAGATAAATAGAGTGTTTGTTTTATTAAAATAGTATTTTCTGACATCTTGAAAACGGAGAACTGTGCCCTATTGTACTGTATAACTTTGCTCGCTCAGTGATTAATGTTCTTTATTTCTGGGTGATTCAGTGCTCAGGTGTTAAACTGTTTTGAGCGAGGTTCCGCAAACCAAAAAATATCATTTAGGGTCCATAACACAATGCAGCAATGACAGATGATTATCGATATTGTTGCATTGTGGGATAACTCGATTTTGTTTCTTTCATAATATCATAAATCTCACTTCAATATAGACTATATCCACTTCGATCAACTGCAGAACTGCTTATTTCTGATGCAAACACCAGCTGTTGAAGTCTTGTTTTTGAATCGCTTTTCAATCAAAAGGGTTTTGAAAAGGGTCCATATATATGAAACAAATTGCTGCTCAACTATTTCCATACCCTACCTCAACCGAAAACAAAACGAGACACCTTAAATCCTGAATTTTTATTGTACTATTTTAGCCCTTATCTTCCAGATTTCCAATTTTCAATTCCAGAATTTTTGCAACACTGTCAAAGTTAGAAGATGGTTTTTCAGAGTTGAGGAAGATATTTGATGGAACATGTTCAAAATCTATTTGTGATAACGAAAAAGACAATCCAAACGATGCCTGCATTATTGTTGACACAAGTTCTGAATCGTATGAACTGAGTAATAAATCTGCTGAACCTGAAATTAGTGATGTTACCAGCACATCAGATGAAACACTGGTTTATAATAAAAAATGGATATTCAAAAACAATGGGTTAGTTTTATCTAGTGTTTTATTTTTACTGTTACTCTTCTATGCATACTGAAAAAGAATTGAAATTGGCAAAAAAAGTGTTAAGATCTAAGTTTTTTCATTTGTTATATTTCCAGATTGTTTTGTCTCTGTATGGGGCAAATAAACTAACTTCATAGCCATTTCTAGCATCTTCTTTTTTCACTCCTAGACCGTCTCATTTCTGTAATTACTGATAATCAGTTTTTAGTCATTTTTACCTTTTTGATTCAGAAAATTAAACATTACTAGTGCATGATGAAGCATTTCCGAAATTTACTATTTGAATAGTCTACTGTCTAGTATTCACTAAATATATTCCAAATGATTCTTGATTTCTAATTTTTGTTTTTGCTATTTTCAGAAATAAGTCGTCATTGTCCAATTCATCAGAAAGCAATAAGACAATTTCTTCCGAAGCAGCTGGAAAGGACAATATATCAAATTCTGAAGTTTCATCTGGAAAGCCGAAAAAAAATTTTGCCATTGAAGATGACATTGATTTTCTGATTGAAGAAGAAGAACAAGCTGAATATGAAAAGCAATTCAACAATTGTGCTATTTTCCCTAATGATGATTCCATAATAGAACCGAAAAGCAATACCAATGTTTCAAAGATTACAAGTCATGAAGATGAGGATTTGTTTGAAGATGACGACTTGGATCTAGCTGAAATTGAGGTTTGTTACCAAAATACTTCAATCTGAATAATATCAAAAGCCATTTCTCCAGTCTGAATTGCTGGACTTCTTGACTTCTAATGTTTCCTTTTTTTCTATATAAATTACAGAAAATAGAGAGTTTAGTGTCATCTGGTGAAGCAGCCAATAATATTGAAAACAAGGTAATATTTTCTCAAGCTCGTCATTTTATGTTTGATCATTCCATTGAACCATAATTCAATATTCATATTTTTATATTTAGAAGTATGATATTCCTCTGAGTGAAAAGGGTTATGATTATCAAAATAAGGTAAATATTTTTGATTATATTCACCTAGCATATTTTCTCCATTTTTTCGATTTTCCTGTGAACAAAACTACTACCTTGAGTGAGTTATGCTGCAATACCTTATTATGGACTCCTTATTGAAGCAATCATACAAACAAACAACATCATGTCATCATAGAATCATGGTTGAAAATAATATTAAGATAAAAGTATTTATTTCATTTCATTCACAATTTTAACATGAACAATGTTATATCTTCTATCTGGCTATATGCAGTGGAAAAATACCTGTGAATATAGTTTATCATCGAAATTTTTTTAAAATGCTGTGCAAAAAAAAAGTCCCATCTGTTTATAATATCACACATTATATATAATTTTTCAGTTGTATCCATAGTTTCCAATGTCATGGTTCTTGTCAAATTACTGAGCTGTATATGCTACTTTTTTTGAAACCATTATCTTGTCCTACAGAACTTCCATGATCAAGGCTCAAAAATAGTAACTGATTATTCAAATGATGGATGTGGAATTTATTGATGATTATCCTTTTGTTGGAAGAACAAGATATAACAAATCCAAGAAGATTGAGGATGGATCTAAAAGTAAAGATAATTCTCTCAATGAAGAAGAATTACTCGACCCTAATTATATTCCTCCTGACAAACAATATACTGATGTTCTGAAAGAGTATTTTGGCCATTTCAAAGTTTAGGCCGTAAGTATAAACTATTTTTCAGTCGATATTTGTTTTAAGTGTTCTGTAAAAGTTATACTTTAGATTAGCAATGATTCACATCATAATTTATCAAACTCATCCTCCTTGCTATTGTTATTAAAGTAGTTTATTTACTTGACTGTGCAATCGTATCCAAAAATTTTTACCGCATGAAATTTCTCGCAAGAAATTTCGCAGCATTGGAAAATTTGTCGCATGAAAAATAGCCGCAATAGCATGTTGCTCAAGTCCGGCTTCTGTTAGTATTTTATGTTTGACTTCTTTCTCATTCTGATTTAATATTAGACTCACTGCCTCAAAGGTGACGCTGCTCGGTAACCATCTCTGGTTTATCGCGTCTCCTTTCACACTGAAATGCAATTTTTTATTTTTTTTATTTTGTTTGTCAATGTTTACATTCGGTTTGTGATAAAATAAACTACTGACTGATGACTGCTTGAAAAAACAAGTATTTGTGATAAGAACAGTTAGGTTTATAGGGTTTAGGGTATGCTCTTAAATAACAAATCTGGATGAATTTGTAGAAAAAATTGTCTTAAATGGAAGGGGTAGTTTGGAAATCTTTGATTCAAACTATCTTTCCATGGACCGCACTAGAGAAAACTTAGTTACCGGTTAGAATAAATTGTTATCGAATTCTACAATTCAAAATGTATAAAACAAATTCTTTTTTCTCAAATTTTTCTCTTCGGTTACCATTCTGTAACCTATATTTGGTTTTCATTTTGTTTTTACTAAAAGGATGCAATGGGAAATATAAATGCAGCATTGAATGAGGGCAGAGATCAATGTGTTGTTATGGCAACAGGTATTTTGCTTATTTAAAGGTTAATGTCAATGTTTTATATTGATGGTGATGGATTTAACCTCATATATTTGTGAATGAATGGGTTCATTCCTAGAACGGCCTATTCCCAACAAATTGCTTAAATAATGTGCATTGTATTTGTAGATTAGAGACCTTGTTTTTCAGGTCCGGTAAGTGTGCCAATGCCATTAATCAATGTAATGTATGAGTCCACAGCACACAGGGAATGAGTCACGTCAGGCTAATCCTACTTATTGCTTAAAAGCGGTTGCTTTCATGAGACTAGGAATAAACTTGTGAAACATGATGATTCGATAGAAAAATATTTGTAACTGCTGTATTCCTATCATTTCTTATAAATTTACAAAATTTTGTTGGGACGTTCCTCATATACACTATCATTATTTCTCAAATTTCAGACCAGTTTCAAAATTTTGTTTTTACAGTTTTATCTTAAATTATTCTATAAAATGTATACATATTTTACTTTCTCATCCAGGCTATGGCAAAAGTTTGTGTTATCAATTCCACCGGTTATACTTAAGTAGTACAGCAGTATGTATATCACCTCTGATATCGCTGATGGAAGATCAAGTTTTAAAATTGGAAACTAATAATATTCCCGCTTGTTTTCTTGGTTCTGCACAGGAGAATACTGCAGAAGTTTATAGTGCAATGATGAGGTAGTATTCGATTACTTACTTAATAAACTGCGGTGGAGTTTTTAATCATTAAACATGGTGAAAACTTTTTGCTTTAAAAAGCTTTTGGTTTTGCAATACGGTTGTTATATTTACATCATTAATGTTTATTAAAGGAGTTGGTGTTACGATAGTATGATGTAAATATAACAACTATATTGCAAAACTAAAAAGCTTTTTTAAGCATTAATTTTTCAACATGAATTAGCGGCTGAAAACTCTACCACAGTTCACAAATTGAATTTTGTATTAGTTTCTCTAACTTAGGTCAGACGGGGCATTAACAAAACAGAATTTTCCTTCGAATATAGAGAAACAAAGATTTATTGTTGTGTTAGAGGTGCAAATAGATAGGCTACTAATGTTAAATGAGGCAATTTCTGCTTATGCTCCAAACAATTCTCTGTCAAAGCAACTAGTGATACCCTTGGTATATACTGTTTGTTGGAACAGAAGCTTCTGAGTTTGGCATTAGTCATCAAATTAATTACACATTGGGTGAGATGGGGAAACGGGTTTAACAATTAAAATCTCTCAAAAATTTGGGAGCTGGACAGTGAATGTCTGAGAAGTTTTTACTTTCGACAATTATATTTGCATCAAATGTAAATAAACTGTACTCCTGAAGTATTTGTACCAAGATGGTGGTTACCGGAACATAGTATGTGTACCAGGCTAGGGTTAGGCCATAATTTTATTCCAATTTTCCTTATTTTTGTTCTATTATGACTGTGAAATTATGGCCTAACCCTGATCTGGTACACGTACTACGTTCCGCTGTCTGCCATCTTGATACGCATACTTCAAGAACATCAAATAAACTAACCTTGGAGTAACTTGTAAAATGAATGCAATCAATGTTATTTCTTCCAGAGGAAAATACAGAGTTGTTTACATAACTCCTGAGTATGCTGCTGTTGCATCATCTAATTTGAGGGAATTGAGCGAGAGAGTCGGAATTTCACTCATTGCAATTGATGAAGCTCACTGTGTATCACAATGGGGTCATGATTTCAGAGATTCTTACAGAAAACTCGGGCAATTGAAGCAATTACTTCCAAATGTAGGTTGTTGCTACAAAATTTCAATTTTTATTTTAAGTGTTACACTTCAAATGTAGAAGGCTACAACAATATGCTTGCCTTTTTATTTTTCCTAGCTAATGTCTTAATAATACTATTTTATTTGAAAAATTTGGCTGCATTTTGACTGTGTGCTGTATCAGGGAATATTCCATGGAAAACTAGAGTTGCAATCATGTAAAATTGTTTTCTTTTGGGCTCACTTTAACAGTAACTGTTTCCTGGTTTTTACTCAGCTAAATTATATACCAGTTTATGGAACATAATATACTGATAATCCAATTTTTAAATTTTTTTTATCTCAAATTTCGGGAATAAAACCAAGATAAAAACTATATTTTAATATTCTGTATCAATTTCTATTTATTCATATTCATTGTAATGATGGTCAACCAAAAAGATTCTGGTATTTTCAAAAATAGTAGCTATTTATGTTGCTGCAGGGTGGTGTGAAGAAGCCTCTTAAAGATTAGGTAGTTGTGGGTCCATCTTGATGATATTCTTCGCTAAATATCGTTTTGATAGATTATATTTCAATCATTTTTTCAAATTCTGGTTCACGGTTTATTCAAGCCTTTTGTAATACTAATAAATACTTTTAGGTTCCTATATTGGCTGTTACTGCAACTGCTACTCCGGAGGTTCGGAAAGATATTTGTGCATCTTTGAAACTTAAGAATCCAGTAATCACTTTGACAAGTTTTGATCGGTAAGTTGGAAGACCTTAGTAGGAGTTGTCTAACATCTGTCAATAGGTAAAGTAAGTTCTGTTGGCGCTTCAGAAGTATGTGTATCAATATGTAGGTAACTAATTTTGTTCACCTACTTTACATCAAGTTGTGTAAAGGGGCGGAAGCCCATTGGCAAGGGGTGTATATTTATTTGGCTAACACAAACAGTCAAACCGAACTCGTAATAGAACTAAAATAAGGAAGAGCGGAATAAAATTTTGGCCTAACCATAACCTGGTACACATACTACGGGAGTACCGTTCTGTCTATGCAAATTGATATCAAATGTAATTTATTCTTCATTTATTCAAACATTTGATACATTTTGAATAATCCCTGAAAAGTATTTATAAGATTCTGCTACTAAATGAATCAATCAATATAAGGAATAGATTTCTTGTAAAAAATTGTAGAGATGCAATTTATATGGTAATGAATATTATCCTGTCTTGTTATTCCAGTTTTGAAATTTCAAATTTGCAATTATTTTCTTTTTAGAGTCAATCTCTATCTTGATGTTTACAACAAAACGAGTGACCCAGCTTCTGATCTACGTTCTCTTATGATACAAAAATCAGTTAGAGGTGCCATCAGATATGAATTTGATGGCCCAACAATCATATATTGCCCTACTAAGAAAGTATGTATGATTTTTTTTTTCGAAATATAAACTTTATTCAAATATATAGATTGGAGTTTTTTGTAATCTTCATTTGGCAATCGTTTTATCAATTTTTTTTTCGAAATCTCCTGACTGTGATTTCAATTTTGCAGGAAACTGCCCGAATTGGCTCTGTGGTTAAATCACTTGGGGTGAGGTCAGCAATCTACCATGCAGGTAACTCCAGTCATCAATTTTATTTTAATGGCTTTGCTATTTTCACTTGCCTTCAAATCTAGTTTTTAGATTTTTTGCCTATCTCCCTTTCTTAGATCCTTTCTTAGATCATCATTCCAAATATTTCAGGTATGTCAATGGACAGAAGAAAACAAGCTCATCATAGGTTCATGAGGGATGAGTTACAGGTGATGAAATTTTTTACAGGGTTTTATAAAATGAGTCTCTCAGACCTTGCTCACATAGTGGAGTGCTTTAGAGCAGTGGTTCTCAAACTTTTTTAGTCCCAGAGCCGCATTTCAAATCTCAAAGTTATGAAGAGCCGCACACAAACAACGCAAGGTAAAATAGAAACAAACCTTAAGCGCGTATTTATAATACCAAGTCATCGTAACAACAACACACGTAACAACTAGGGAGGGGCAAAATATTCGAATAATAAAATATTCGAATGGCATTTTACTATTCGAATATCCGGTACCACGTGACCTGCGCCGCTCTGCTTGGACACCGAACTCGTGCGTCTCCAACTCAATCTCGAATTGTGCGAGATTTCCCAACGGCGATCGCTATCAGAAAAAAACGACAAATTTAAATGCTTATCTTTGCACTTAACGTATCGTTTCAATTCCATATTTTGAAACAAACGTACCGACCGTTCTGTAAATTTAGAAACGTCAAACCAGATTAGGTATTTAAAATAAATTTCCCAGATTTTAAACTCCGCATGCTTGGTGACATTTCATTAGTCACTTCTTGACTTCTTAACGAACATAAAGTTGATTAAAATTAATGTTAAAATGACTTTTCGGCGTTTCGTTGTGAAAAAGGCGATTTTAGGTCGTTTGAAAACTCTAGTTATATAAATAGCTTGGATTTAAAAAAGACCGAAAGTTTTTCCAAAAGTTGATATGAGTTACTTGTCTGAAAAACACTCATTAAGTTGTAACCAGATAAGAAATGTCTTGTCCTACTCCCTTCAAAGCACTTTGTATCAACTCTTTAGCGGTCCCTTCCATCCTTGGCCAAGTAATGTTTCGAATATGTGAACATTTTACTCGACCATGCATGGCCGTTGAGCCAAGAGTAGAACATAAAATCAATCGTGAATTTCGTTGTAACAATGCACACTGACTCGTTCACGAATTGTTGCGTCTATTATCATCGAAAATGATTACAATTGTCAAATTTTGAAGCATTTGGGCAGTAATAATTAGGCCTTAAGGCATGACATAATCAAAATCATTGAGTGAAGTGCTGAATTTGCAAATTCCGTAAAGAAAATTGAGCATTACTCAGTAAGTATTTTAGCTATAATAACTATCGGGGTGTTGTTTTGTTAGAAAAAAACGTTAAAACTTGAAGGAATTAGTTATAATTGACGTCTGGACCCTATAATAGGCACAAAGGCCTAGAAGTTCCTTTATTTTCAATTTATTCAATCGCTATTTCAAATCAACATTCAGGATTCACACAATCGTAAATTTGCTAGGTTTATCTATCTAATTCAAAATAACACGAACACCATAGAAAGCATGAGAATCTCAATTATCATTTTATTAAATATCTGCATCTCGGTTACCGTTCACTTTAAACAGGCACGGTCAATTTACAAGCGATGAAAAGGAAGATCAAATCTAAGGCAGAGGATGAAACTCAAAATAAAATTAATTTGGTTTCGAAATTAGCCCTTAATGTATTCAACAGCTGTCGCTGATGTGAACGCAAGGGTATACTAGAAATATGAAACTTCGATATCCAGCGACCCCTTATTCTTGCAAAAAAAACGAGAAAGGGCAGGAATATAGAATATCAACTTTAGGATATCGCCGCCGAAACGATCGTGGTGACAAAGACAATCAGAGATTATGATGAAATTAACCATTAACTGGTAAAAAAACGCTTTATTGGCGACTTTTCAATGTTTTTAATTAATTTCCAAATGAAGTATCGTATCGGAGGATGCAAGGTGCAGTAGCTGCTTGAGATGATCGCCAGATATTTCGGGACTATTTTCGATTACTGGAACAAAATTAAAATGCTCTAGAAATTAAAATAATCATTGAGTTATTTGATTTATAGGCCTACATAATATTCGGATATGCGACAAAAACTGAAAATCTACGAACGCAAGCCAATGATTACAGCCATTTCTAAAATCTTTCCGAGCGAAAAGTCTCCAAGTGGCCGAGAAAACGCTTACTGTTACGTCACTATTGCATCTTGTAAATTAGTCAACGCTACGCAAATAAACAGGGGGGAATCCATTCGATTAACTAATAGACTTACGCATTTTAATTTCAAGTAAATGATGAGTTTTCAATGAAATTTTTTTTTTGAAAGTAATTAATTTTTAAAGCATTAACAAGAGCCGCAGGAAAGGTTGCTGAAAGCCGCATGCGGCTCTCAAACCCTAGTTTGAGAATCACTGCTTTAGAGTGTTGTATCTATCTATGTGAGTGTCTCAGGGTAAAAATCTCGAGTTTTAATCCTGTGTCCACCAACTCATCTCAGACAATAGCTTTATATATAAGTGACTTGTACAAAGCCTTTTTCAGAGTGAAAGTCTGAGTGCCCTTTGCCCATAAAGAAAATGGATCTAGCATGTGATTAATGGAATTGCATTTCAAATGTAAAAGATCAAATACTTTTGTCTACATACATTGACCATATATTGAATTCTTTTTTTCTTTAGTGTATTATTGCTACTGTAGCATTCGGTATGGGAATAGATAAACCAGATGTAAGGAGAATTATACATTATGGAGCTCCTAAGGATATCGAAAGTTATTATCAGGTCATATTATTATTCTCTCTAACTACAAATATTTTTACTGATTTTTTTTTCCAGACTGGTATACATACATATAAAAGAAAATTATATGCGTGAATTGCGTTCAAATAAGAATATAATTCTTTGTAAAAACAATCTGAATTTTTTTAATTTTCTACTTATCTCCTATTTTTGCACTTTCTCCAATAACATGAGAAACCAAAAAACATAACAAAAACAAACAAACAAAATTCATATTAACTTGGGAAGAAGATGGATGTCCTTTATAATGCCAGTCTTTGATGATAATTTGTTTGTATTTTTATGACTCGTGTCAATATTATAGCTATGGTTGTGGTTGTTTCGACTTTCATCTTTAAACTTTCTTTTTTTGAATTTCAGGAGATAGGTCGAGCAGGAAGAGATGGATTACCATCAAGTTGTCATACATTTTTTACATCTGGTGATTTTAACACAAACAGGTACTTTGAATGAAAGTTAAGTTATATTTGTACTTTTTACTCTCATACTGATTAAAGTTTCAAATTCCGTTGTGATGAATACTGATAACTTGATATTGAGTTTTGTTTATGGCACTGGAAAATGGAAATTATATCATAAAATTGAGCAAAAGGGGTTCGAGAACATGCTGTGTGAACCTATTAGCAATTTGTATTTTGTATCAAAATGCATGTTTTTTCTGTGTTCGCAAAATTTGAGATTTCGCTATGAAAATTGTAAAGCAAGTCCAAAAAGTGTTACATGATACTAAAAATCAGTATTGAATTTGCTCAGATGGATGTGGGGAGTCAAATTTTTTGTGCATAATACTTTCAGAGTAGCTATTTTCTGGGTGAAATTTTGCTAGTGCTTTTTTTTCTCAGATTTTTTCTGCGGGATATATCAAATCCCAAATTTCGGGATCACAAGGCAGCAATGATTTTAAAAATGGAGAATTATCTGGCAACAGTTGGATGTCGACGAAAATCAGTTTTATCTCATTTTGATAAAAGAGCTCAAAGTAGTATTGCTGGAACAGAAAAATGCTGTGACAATTGCAAAAGAAGGTTTGTCCCTAACAATTTATTTTGAATGAAATTTGAAATTAATGCTAAATATAACAGAAATAAGGGGTAAAAAGTTGTGATTTTTATCAGAGTTTGTAAATATATCGTATTTTTACTATGAATGGACGTCTAGACTCTTTGGAAATAGTCCAATAATCGTGGCCCCGTGGATACCAGTTTCGTTAGTTTGTTATTAGTTTGGGAATGTTTTACCTCATTCAAAATCTTCTGGCAGGCCGAATTGTGTTATTTTAAGTTAATGTTTTTATTTGCAGAATAGAGAATCAGAAAAAAAGTGGTGGAACTGTTTGTTATGACATCACAGAGGGCTGTGAGGAAAAAAATTTTGGGGATGAAGCAAAACAAATGTTCGAGGCAATCAAAATTACTGGGGAGAGATTTGGACTTGGAATGCCAACTTCATTTTTGTCTGGATCAGTATGTCAGAAAGATTTTGGAAAATGAGTGTCTTTGTAAATAATAGTTTGAGAATGAATGATTAGACTATATTCAATGCCATAACGCTTCATATTAACTAGCCTGATGTAGTAACTGTTGTCTGTAGTTCAACATTTTACTTAGGGTATCTGAATAATCACTTATCAGCTGATGACTTCAGCAGTTCTAGGAAAATTCGCCTCAGAAAATTTTGCTGCATACTGCATAGGAAAAATCCCCAGATGAAAATACTCCACAAGAGCATTTGGCTGTAAAACAGGTATTTGTGATAAAAACAGTTAGGCGTTTGAAGTACCTTTTTATTTAAAAAAGGGTTCGTTATTAGAGCATTCCCTAACTTCTTATTTAAAAAAGGGTTCGTTATTTAAGAGCATAACCTAACTCTATCACAATCACAAATACTTGTTTTTACGCCAAATGCTCGATTATGTGAAATTACAGAGCATGACAAAAAATTCTTTATTTAATTTCTGAAAACTGAGAGCCAATCAAACCTTCATTTATTTAAACTGTAATATCCTCTATCAAACTCATTGAATTTACATTAGCATCTATGTGCTTTATTGGAATGTATTTGATATTCCATATTCAACTGTTATTGTTATTATTCAGTTTTGGTCAACCCTGTGCGATAAATAATCTCGCTTAATTCACCAGATGGAATAATCCAAATGCCATTTAATAATCTGCGATTAGACAAATAACAGTTAAGATTGCACAGATGAACCCCACATCACCTGAGTAAGCAGGATGCGGAATCTCTAGGTCCTAGGATATGAAGCTTACAACTAGGTGTAAGTTACTGGTTTATGAGAATTCTTATTATTTAGAAAAGCAAGAAAATGTTCGATAGGTTTTTGCGACATGCTCAATTTGGAATGGGTTCTAATCATACACAGAAATGGTGGAAAGCATTGGGGAAGGCTTTATTAAATGCTGGGTATTTGAAAGAAAAACAAATGAAGAAGGGATCTTTTGGTTCACTCGTTGGTAAGTCAAGAAATAACAGAATTTTATCATTATTACTTCGGATTCATAGAACTCTTTCATTAGCTCTGTAAAAGAGATGGAAAGGATATTAAAGTTTGGCTATTTTAGCTGCAGTAAGAATTACATTTATCAAGATTTTTTTTTTAAATATATTTTTATTCATTTTTAAGTTTTTGTTTGAATGTTCGTTGTTGTAAAAATCCCTTTCATAAAATTATTATATTATTTGATTTAAATAGGCATTTAAAAAATTGCTTTTTTATTCCAGAAATCAGTTTAAAGGGATCACAATGGATTAAGAAAAGAACTTTTTCACCGGATTTAAAATTAATGTTGGCACCCACTGTTGATTTGATGGAAAAACAACCAAGAACATCACACGCTACTCCTGTTACTAATCAACAAGTTGATCAATCTGCTGAGTAAAATGATTTGCTTTTTGGCAAAATTAATTCCATATATTACTATAAAAAAATATTTACCGGGATAACTGCAAAATTCTGTCTAATATATTTGAAATTTGAATTATGTATTTTATTAGGGTTTATTTTTTAGAAATTGAATTGCCAAAGTTTCTATGTTATTGGGCAACGTTTACCATATTTAAATGAGTCATGATTCAGAATATGGATCGTGTACAAAAACACGAACCATTTAAAGCTGTGATATACGATTCTTAATTCCGGTACATGGAACTATTTTCACTATCCAGTATTGTTTGAAGATAGCATAGAAAAGTCTGTCATAATAAAGATATCCAACCATCTGTCCTGGTGCAATGATTTTGCAGACTGTGCCAAACTGAATAAGTTGATCTTTTGAAATTATTATCACTATAGGTTTGAACTTGATAAGGTATTTTTTTATAATTAGTATTTTCTTTATGAACTCAAATCCTTGGGAAATTTCTTATCTATGTACATAGTTGAGATTTCACTGTTTCGATAATATATTCATATATTTTTATTTTCAGGATTTTACCTTCAACACCATACACAGAAATTACGAGAGAACAACTGGACAAACTCACTCTAGGTCCCTATATCATGGATGCCAGTGTGAAAAAAATAACATCAACTCAAAACAAAAAGACTGGAGAGAATGATGAACATAGTGGACCATTATATAGTTTGTTACTTTCGTTGAGAAATAATATTGCACATGTATGTATTTGCGTTCAATTTAACTATTTATTAACACTGATTCTTTGTCATTTTTTTTATTTATCCTGGGAAGAGGAATGTTATAAGACTCTGGCTCAATCATATGGTAGGTCATTACCACTCGTTCAGTAACTATTCCATGTCGGACTTGGAACAAATTACCTGTTCAGATGAAAATGTATGGTGGCGTAAGCAGTAACCAATCACTTGTGATTATCTCCATCAGATTTGAACCTGTGATGTCACATAGAGTACAGAGGACATCTCTAATACCCAGTAACATGTACCCAACACCAAGTCATTGACCTAGCCGTATATCATCCATTATTGGCAGTTTGCTTCTATATAAATATTTTCCCTGTGTCATATTTATAAACATATATATTAATTTCCATATCATATGGTAAATGTCATGTCACTATAACTTAAACTTTTATTTGGGTTCAACCGATTTTGACTAAATTTTGTGAATTGTTCAACCTAGCTATTAGAAGATTTGCCAATGAGCTCCAATAGTCAAAGATTGACATATATTGTTATATTAGAAACTTCCATTGAATATCATTTGTTTAAGAATTTGAAGCTCTGGTATTTAGGGTTGTCCAAATAAAATTGAATATTCGAATATTAAAGTATTCCAATACTTTTTCAACACATTTTAAAATAATCCAGAAGAATATTGGCCACTTTTCGCCGCCAGCAAGGTGTTTCATTTTCAAGGAAATCTTCAAACGATTTTCTTCGCTTTGTCGCAGGTTGTTTGTTATCTTTTGTGTGAACCCACGGCGCATATTGTTGCGACATTCTTACACAGTTGCGTGTTGGATATTGTCGCTATTAGCTATTGTAAGAAGTAGGCTAAACTGAATTTGAAAAGCCAGCCAAAAAAAACTTTATATAATTTTTAAATAAACCTGCTTTTCTGTCAGAAGTGTTTCCTCGAACCAAATCCCCAAGTTTGCTCATTCATAAAAATCTTTATGTGATGTTTCAGGATATGGACATTCCACCTCATCTTGTAGCCAACAACAAAGATCTTCTTGAACTTGCAAAAGTACGACCAAAAGATAAAGATATGTTGTTATTAGTTGATGGAATGTCTGTAGTTAAAGTTAAAAGATTGGGAGAGCAAGTTGTAGCAGGTGATTATATACTGATTTTGTCTCTGGCCAGTGATCTTATGAATACTAAGGTTGATCAGACTTAAGGCTTCCATGCAAGTAAAGAAAATTCAGAACATTTCTGCCAAATAAACTTTTCATAAATAGTTTTATCATCATCTGTGTATAGTTCATATCTTTGATGAATAGTCAGTTTAAATATCAAACCCAGTTCTCCTGGAACATGTCATTGCACGAAACCCTGTACTCCTGTAGTATGTGTACCAGGTTAGGGTTAGGCCATAATTTTATTCCGATTTTCTTTATTTTAGTTCTAATACGAGTTCGGGGACTGTTTGTGTAAGTCAAGTGAATATACCTTCTGTCCATAGGCTTCCGTCCCTTTACGCAACTTGATGTGAAGTAGGCGAACAAAGTTAATTACTTCCATATTGGTACACTTCTGTGTACTTCTTCTACTTCTGGAGAGCCCAAAACCCCACCATCTTAATGGTCACTGTCTGTTTCTATATGTGAGCACCAACTATGTGTTGTGGTTACAAAGTTATGTTTAGATTTTCTATTCAGTGCTTCAAACAATCTTCAAAAACAATTTAAGATCAGCTGGTATTTTGAGCAGTTGTTTGTGAGTTTGTATAATGAAACTTTTCCCTTAGTTTCTTGGATTATTACTTTTGAACTTGCTGTAATAAAATCTTGCTTCAATTATAATACAATGTTCCAGTTATTCAATCATTTTGTGAAGAACATCAAGCTTCATTTAATAATTTTCCTGAAGAAGACAGCGATCTGGCTTCATCACAAATATCTATTGATAAAAGAGTCAAGAATGAAACAGGAGTTCCCACAAAATCAATGTCTGATACTGTCAAAATCACTTATAATTTGTTTCATGACAGAGGAATGGCATTGGTAGGTAGTTTGATAAATAATAATAAGTACTATTACTTGGGTAGAAAGTTACACAAAACCCCTTTTTTGTGTCTCAAAATTTTGGCATCATGTTTGCTGGGTACAATTTCTTCTTATTATTATTAGATACAATAGCACCACATTTCTTAACCTGGAAAGAATTCTTGCCAAGGGGAGAATTTATATTTGCTGTAGTTATAATAATATACTCGAGTTCTTACTACCATAATCCTTTTTGATGCACTCATTATAAACTAGAGCTGCGTGCAGCTTTAACAGGCTTCCCGCGTAAAAAAAAACTGAAGACGCGTTTTGCTCACTGGAGCGTGAAAGCGTGGTCAGTCATGCATAAAATTTGCAATTTATGATGGGGGACTTATTATCTGCAGGTGATGTAAATTTCAAGTTTCTAAGTAATGTCGTTCTCGAGAAGAAGATGAAAATGTAAAATCCTATATTGCTCACTGGAGCGTATCGCCGAGGTCACTCATGCGTATCCTTGACATATCGTATCCGGAACATGTCCATTAATCATTGTTATGAATTTCAATCCAATAGCATGTATCAATTTTGAGAAATCGCAAAAAAACTGAAGACGCGTTTTGCTCACTGGAGCGTGAAAGCGTGGTCGGTCATGCATAAAATTTGCAATTTATGATGGGGGACTTATTATCTGCATGTGATGTAAATTTCAAGTCTCTAAGTAGTGTCTTTCTCGAGAAGAAGATGAAAATGTAAAATCCTATATTGCTCACTGGAGCGTATCCCCGGGGTCACTCATGCGTATCCTTGACATATCGTATCCGGAACATGTCCATTAATCATTGTTATGAATTTCAACCCAATAGCATGTATCAATTTTGAGAAATCGCAAAAAAACGGAAGACGCGTTTTGCTCACTGGAGCGTGAAAGCGTGGTCAGTCATGCATAAAATTTGCATTTTATTGCTAGCTGAGAACTTCTGCACATTTGAGGTGAATTTCAAGTTTGTAGGAGCAATTTGAAAAAAAATAATAAAAATAAATACCGGTAATAATAAATAAATAATAATAATAAAACACAGGAATACAATAGGTTCCCTGCTGACAAGCAGCGGGAAGCCTAATTACTTGTACTGTACAAAAGCAAGAGTGTTACTTGCGCATTACAATAGCTAATAATCACCTTAATATTGGGGCTAAGAATCCATTCAAGATCGAATAAATTAAGTAGTTTTTATGTAAGGTGAGAAGGGAATAGAGAGTTCTAAAATATCCAAAGATAGGGTTTCAACGAACCACTGTAGCTGCATGTTTAGTTGTTGCAGACATCTTCAATTTCACACTGAAATTGTTATATACAATATATTATGTTACGGCAACTTTTCAGAATTATACTTTTATCATGTGACCAATTTGTGAATTTATAACTTGCCGATACAGGCAGTCGAAAACGTTTTCAGTTTCAGGGACAATCCGTTCCACTGATACTTAATTTTAATCAGTTGAGTTTCAAATTATCCATCCATCATATAAGTAACTGTTGTCGCTTGTTTGAGTGGAGTTGTGGAACACCTGAAAAATCAAAAATTTGCTTAGATGTTGTTGCCATCGAGTGTTGATATTTGAATATTGAATCACCTATTGGATTAAATGAATATCAATGATTTTTGCATTTATTTTTCAGGAGGAAATATCTAAAGAGAGGGGATTGCAATTATCAACGTTAGGAAGTCATCTTGCTGATGCTTTACTTGCTGGTCACCCCGTTAATTTTCAACGTCTTGGAATCAGTAAAGAACTGATAAATAATGTTGAAGAAGGAATACGAAAACCACCACTCAATTCTGGTATGTAGGCAGATTTCAGATATTTGGGGAAGATAGTGATTTTAGTCTTTATCAGAAAACAAGATAACAACTTGAGTTGAGCTTGGACAAAAAAAATTTCAAAAATCGGCCATTAAAAGAATGCGAAGGAAAATTCTAAAATAAAGATATTTGATGACACTATAGGACGGGTGTGCAACCTGCGGGCCAAATGCAGCCCACAAGGTAAAATTGTGCGTCCACGAAACGAGTTTTTAAATTAGGTTTTAGTTTAGGTTTCCGAGCCCAAACCAGAGTCCCAATTTTTTTGTTATCTATGCCCATGGCGTTACAATGCCCTAACAGCTTTGGACACATGTCATAAACCCAATAACCTGCAACTACTAGTAAGCTTATGTTAAATAATTGTTCGACCCGCGGCTTCACCCAGTTATTTGTATCTGACCCTACTGTATTGAAAGTTGCACACCCTTGCTATAGGACAGGGATGGCGAACCACTGACCCGCGGGTCACAAAGTGACCCACCGAGTTTTATTCGTGACCCGCCAAGGCACGAATGAAATCAGAAAAATGCTAACATATCAGTGATAAAAAATATTGAAATCGGTCTTAAATTAATCTAACAATACCTGAACTATTATAATGTACCGTCAGTTGGGCAGTCAGGGCTGCGATCGCTTATATTCAAATTGGTAAACCCCTAATCTTGGACGCATGTCTGCACCGTTGTGTGCCGTTATTCAGCTATTGGCTCTGACATAGTTTATGACATAACAATCCAATTGATGTTCATTTCTCGCAACGTCTTGTCTCTTCAGAAGTGCATCTGCAGACTGTTTTAGGGGTTGTACGAGAACTAGATGCCACTTTGCATTTCATTAGTTTCTCGCCTACGATGCCGTTGAGAATACAAAATCTTTCAGACTTGAAATACAAAACCTAGAAATCTGGAATAACAATGGGACAGTGTAAAAGTGCTTTTAATATGGTTAAAGCTGATATAAAAATATAGCACTATCAAAGTGGAATTCCCTTCAAACTCTTTGGAACCGTAAAATAATTTGCCGCATCATCCTAAACGTAAATCATATTTGTGTTTTCGTACCCTTAATCGAGTGCCATAAAAAGTTCCTGATAAAGTGCTGTAAAGTTAAGCCCTAAACTACAACAACATTAACAGAACCGTTGTATTATGATTTGTTTCAGATGTTTCTTATAGATACAAACATTGATTAAATATCTGTGACCCACTCTCTTCTGTTCCGCGATAAAAATATGATTTTTTACCCATTCATTGAAAAAGGTTCGCCATCCCTGCTATAGGAGATAATTCGATCTGTAAGAACATAAAATTTGAAAATGATCGGTTTAGTGATTGAGAAAAAAGCAATCTTTCAGTCCAACAATGACAAATTTTCAAAACAACTTGGACGTGCTAAATAATGCATGTTCATGAACCATAAAACTAAATTATTTCTGATCTATTTATAATATATAATACTTTGTTCCTTATTAAGCATTTTAGAATGCAAAAAAATGCTTGTGCAGCAAGAATTTCATCATTGCATAAGAAATAAGTTCTTTTCATCATAGAACATGGTATTTTATACTGATCCAGATTATCTTATGATTTATGAATTGTTATGATTTAGATATTAGTCGAGTCTATCCAATCAAGGATCAAGTCACAATGCCAATTGAATGGATGCAAATCAAAATAGTTCGAGCATTTTTGATGATCAAGTATGGAATGACATCTTATGGAATATCAGGAAGCATTTCAAAGAATAATTCTTCTAAAGGGTAAAGGACAAAGAAATTTATCAGATCACATATAGCACCTGTCATTGATTAGCATGTATATTGTACAATAACGAGTTTTGCAATATATTTGTTTTTTAACAATGTTCCACAGATGGAACATGCATTGACAGCATTTATGGGATATGTATTTAAAGTAATTTACACTGCACCTTGTATCAAACCTCAAGTTACCAATCTGCCACCATTATTAATTTATGTCTTTTTATGTACAAAGTATTCATGAAAAATTACTCATGATTCATTGTAGCTCAGTTCATTGTAGGGCAGCTTAATAACTTTTTATATGGAAGAGTCATTCAAATGGTGATTGGGACCATACCATCCCAATTCGCAATGCAGACTCTAGCATTATCTCGTTCAGAAGATAAATATGGATATTATGATAACTCAATATGATAACTCTATGAAAATACTGATGTCCTACTTAGCAAATTTGTATTTGTCAATTTGTGAACATGTTTTTCAGACCTTCACAAACTATCGCTAATCTGAAGCAATTTCAAGCAACAAAAGTATGCAGACCACACACACAACTTACTTTGAAAACAGACGGGTATATATTTCGTTATATTGAGTATATCAATGAAATTTAGAAAAGTTGGTAGTGTATCCTTTTTATTTTTTCACAGTGGAGGGTCAAAGCTCGGTTTAATATCATTATCAGGGGGCGAAGAATTAGCCAGAAGAAAGGCTGTAACAACATCAAGACATTTTTTGACTCCTAATTCAACTAATCTTTCACCTTCATCTCCTGGTGGATTTGCTGACTACGACGACGATGATAAATCAACTTCATATTCTAAGGTATGTTTGTATTTCATATTATTACCCATGTTTGGAGTAAAATAAATTTGTTAAATTAATAATATATATAGGCATAAAATGTATTTAGGCACTTGACGATCTTTGGTTCATGATATCTCCCATATAACAATATTGCCAATTAAAAAAATATATAATAGTAAAAGCAAGTGACTTTGTTGAGAATGAAATAATTTGAACCCTTGAAGTCAAATAGAAAACATAGTATCTTAAGTTAATCTTATTGTATAATTTGTTATTTGTATTGGTATTATATTACACACATTGTGATACAAAGACTTAATTTTTCATCCTACTCTCAATCGTCACTCCTCGGTATGAGTTTTTGTATTTCCAACTCCTTGTTGAATGAATATTATTTTCTGCAATATAAGTACTTGATTCTTCTCCTATATTATCATTATGATTAGAAGGGATCAACAAAAAGAAAAGTTCCATCCTGGGGTCGAGGACGTGGCTCAAAATTCAACTTTAAACGAAGAAAAACAAATAAAATGTTCTGATTAAAGCACAAAATTGTATATTGCTCAACTTGTGGATGCAAATGATCGATGAGGATGTGAATGTAGTTCGCAATATTTCATTTATGTGTTTTTGAGTGAGGGAGTGGTTGGGGCTGTAGAGTCTGGGTAAATATAACTCATACCCCGAGTTCTTTTAAAATCAACTCCCAACTTGGGTTGGCAAAAACTTTATTCCTACTTTGCAGAATATTGAATTTGCATTTGGGCACCTACCCTCATTAAATCATCAATATCACGCCAAGCACCTACTGGTGGGGCTGCATTTTTTTTCTAAATATAAAAAAGAAACTCGTTACCTTTTTTTTTTTTTGAATTCTTTGAAATATACCTCTCACTGCCTTCATATTTTGTTAGATTCTCCCTATATTTTGGTTCTTCAACAATCTGCAAATAACTTTTTATATAAATTTATTTTCAGTTTTGAAAGTAAATTGAAGTGTGGTATTTTCTTTCTTGTGGGAAAATACTATGTTAGGCAGTACAGATATTGTAGTTGTGTTGTCTTGTGTAGGGTACAATCGAATGGACTATGATAGAGTAAAAATGCCCAAAGTGGGAGTTGGCGAACTTTTTTCATTCAATCACATTCGGAATCACCTCTGACTCCAGATCATGTGCAGTTTTAACTAGAATCGTTAGTACTTGGAAAATCCATTCCTAAATATATGGCTGTTGAATTGTGCAAGATATGGATATGCTTTGCCAATGCACCACTGAAATCGAACTGCGCTTCAGGTACATTCGCTATGCCATAATTATTCTGTAACTGAGTTGTAAGTCCCACTTTCCCAGAAGACTTGTGAATCGCTGGGTTTTTCTTTGTGTGATAAAAACTGGAGTCATGACATTATAGCTTGTCTGAGTTGTTCTGGACTAATTGAATAGCTGCCTTATTAAATATTGATAAGGTAGGTAGGTGGATTTTAACTACCTGGTACGACCCGCCCGGGAATTGAAATATTCAAGTATCTGAAAAGTGCAGGATTTTGGGACCAAAGCACAGATAGAAACAGAAATCGTATTTTCAGGTTTATTCTGAGCATGTAAGCAGTGGTAGAATTCAAATTTTTTGTCAACCGGTTCCATCACAAAAGTTTTTTTAGCCAGTTATGTTACAAACAGAACATTGACAGTAACCAGTAAAGCTAATCGGTTCGCTGATCTCATAAAATTCTATAAGACGCGTGTAGGTGATCGACCTTGGGAAGATGAGATGTCTTGCGACCAGCGCCGGATTAACCATTAAACAATATAAGCACGTGCTTATGGCACCAAGCAAGGAGGGGCACCACAGAAAATGTAGAGCAGAATTTTATATAGTTTATTAAAATATTACGAGTTCACCAGACGACTCCAACTACAAAATGTTTGCTTATTGTTCGTCTTCAAGTATCCTATTAACCTACTTTATTAAAAATAAACACTGATCCTTATTTATTTGACACGAAATGGGCCTATGAGTCGTTTTCTTAAATTGTTATAGTTTTTTCTTCTTAGTATTCTCCTTGTTGCTGCATTTTTGTTTTAAAAAAATTTCTTTTCCCTTCAACAATTGGACCAATGAACTATTTTGCACTATGTGGCGGTTTCACGATTGCATTTCAACGATGTAGTGGTCAGCGAAGTCGGGAGTTTTTTCGATAAGGTAGACCAGGCCCAAGGTGGTCCAAACCCTGTCATGCTTGATACATTCCGTGCGACCCACAGAACAATTTCAGCGTATATTTGTATCTAATTGTAGAACGACAAAGTAGAACGCTTTGTGCCTTTATTTTAGTAATAAAAACACTCCTCTGTTTTCAAGCGTGGGCCATGTGACAGTAGTGACGAAACGCAGAGCCGACTTAACGCCGCGCAATCCAGTTATTTTTAGCTAAGGTGAAATACCAACTTAGACGGACTTGTATTTGAGTTGGGTTGCGCGAGACTAACTTCCTATCTTTTCTATATGCCTTTATGCTAGTGGATCCGTATGCGTATACTGCAAGGATACTGTAGCTGGAATAAACATGACTATTCTATCCAATTAAAGAGTCCAGCTGCACACTAACACAAATGTCTTTCTGTAACGTTTCGTCCGACCAGAGTCAGACTTCCTCAGACAAGCAGACAAACTTGGTTGTTATTTGACGATGGCACTAAGCTTGCTCACGCTGCAAGTTTTTATATTACTCAAATATAACAATTCGTAATAAAATGAGTGTCACAAGAAAGGTGACATGAGGAAAACACGGCGGAAACGTATTTTCTTGCCCATCACACAGTGTCTGGTTTGATTTCAAGTAATATCTGTCACGAAAGAATATAATTTGAAGCGACATTGACCGCGAGATGCGGAAAATACAACGGTAATTCTCGGGAATTAATTTTAAACTGACGGCTTTATACATCTTTTTTAAAAGACGCCATCCATGCAACATAATAATAGTCTGATTAGAACGGTAAACTCTCGTTGTTTGTTAAATTAAAAGTAAGTAAACTCGCAATATTGGGTTTTCTCTGACTTGCGGCCCGCGAGACCTCTTCAAAAGTTTTCGCGGTCCTCCAACCTAGTAACTTTGAACCGCCCTAAGATAGACTACTAGGTACCGGTAAAATTTCCACTACAGCTGTGACTTGTATCCTTTGGTATTTCGATTCACGTTGAGACTGGAGGCATGAATCTTTATTGTTACACTCACTCAGGATTAGAACTCAATCGATATATCGGCCCGATGTTGCGTGTTTGATGATATATATATCATATCGGTAGTAAACGGCCGATATATAAATCAGCTATATGTATATAACAGTTAAAAAACCTAAAAATGTTCGTAAAAGTTGTTTCATTTACTGTTGGCTGTGATTATTTTTAATGGATGATACACTTATGTGGTTTATTATTTTTTTAATTAAATTACACATAAGGGGGCACCAAAGTCTTCAGTGCTTAGGGCAGCAAAGGACATAATCCGCCCCTGCATGCAACCCTCTAGCACAGTGTTTTCTCAGTTTTGGCCACTGATCATTTTCGAAGCAAGATGAATTGTGGTGGAATCAAATGAACGTTGATTTATTGGTTATTTTAATTAGGGAAACTCTAAAAATACCGTTCAACGCTTAACATTTGCAACATTAAACGAGAGCTTTGCCAGTTTGTCAAAATTGGAGTCAATGGGCGTTACAGCGCATTTAGTGTCATCTTTAGGTTGAAGCTTATTGCGGAGTAAAATATCTAAACCAGGCCTGCGCAACATACGGCCCGCTAGATACTTCTGTGAGGCCCGTGGGTGATTTGGAAACAATCAAAACCGGCATTGTTACGAAGCGCGCCGCTGCTCCGAAATCGTGAGATATATGTTTTGCACTAGTTTCAATAAATATCGAACTTTGTGTGAAATTGGTGTGCCCTTCGCGACCCCTAAAAATTGTCGCTCGACCCCTCGCCCCCCAGTTTAGGAAATTTAGATATCTAAGTATTCAGACTGAATCACGTTTAAAACAATATCGGTATACAATCTCACACCCATTAGTGCATATTAGCAACCTATTAATAACCCCATTACTTTTTACTGGCAGTTTATGAAACTGAAGTTTCTTTTTTGATTCAAATTTAGAACTTAAAAAACAATTCCTTCATTTATGAATGGTGCAGAAATTCTCGCACAAAAGATATTGCTATTGCTAATTTTAAATAAATTGGAGCAGATTTTGTAGAAAAATGTAATTTATCAGTCCAAAAAGTACAACAGAGGAAGATCTATTGCTACTAAACGGCTTGTTTGTCTAGCCTACAATGGAGATATCCGATAATGGTAAATGTGACTGAATAAATTGTCATACATATATTTGGGACGATTTTACACTGAACCTGAGTAAAATATGTTCCTGCAATCAGTTTATACTGCAACACGCAATACCTAATTCTAATAAAAAAGGAATATTGAAAATGAAGGATGGGTTTTAAAGGTTTAAGCTCTCCAGTAATAAAATTGTTTCATTAAATTTAAATATTTTACAATATTATTTTGATTTGTAGTTTGTAGTTCAGCCCCCGTAGTAATTTGGGTTGTGCAGGCCTGATCTAAACTGTTAATTGTTGAAATGACGTATATATTATACTGATGTGTTTTTTTCATCTTCGATCCAACAATGTAAGCCACTATTAAATTCATTAGTGTTTTTTATTGAAATTTTGAAAAAGTTGGCAATCCTACTTGTATGTAACGAAATTTCGAATTTAATGCAAATTTTGAATTTAAGAGTTGTTTATATACGACGCCACATCGAAAATGTTATACAGGCTCGCATTGTGTCACTGTGCAGACGAGCCTTCTTGGTGGAAAAGCATGCGATCTCTTGTCGTCTGAATCCGGGCTTGGTTTATTAAAATGTCTTCATAAATGATGAATGTTGCTCGTCCATACAACGTCGCACAGCTATTAATAGTTTAATTAATTTGAGGATTACGAAGTCACTCATTGTTAAGTTTTTTTGGCTTTGATTATTATCCAAGTGACTGCGCCCTTGGCTCGATTCCTTCTTTAATTTGAGTTTAAAATAAAATTCGACCTGGGACGCCTTTTTATCAGACTTGAGCGAGTAGATCATTTACTTCTTTGTACACTAACCGCAAGAGATAAGTATATTGCGCTAATACGTATTTTGTTAGTTAATGCTGCCGAAGTTCAGAAGCGGCGTAGGTTTTATTAACAAAGCGGGAGAGTTAGGGTAAATAAACATCATATTAGTGAAATTTAGAGGGGTTTTTCGATATGGCGGTCGCTAACGACGAATTAAGTAATTTTTTTTTCAACAATATGTTATATATAACCTTGACCAAGTAGCCTATGGTTTGGACTGATTTCACATATAAGTATATATTTATATGGACGTGTGACAGTGGAAGGTCAATTAATATTAAGTAGTTGGATGAGAAATCGGTAAAAATTACATGGAACTGATGTCGAATCAAAGCCCTGAAATGCCTCAAATTGACTTAGATCCGAAACCCGCCCACTCTGGATTGTAAAAGGAAATTAAACAAAAATTAGAATAAGCTTACATTCATATCCTTTAATACAAACTTGGACGTTTTATACTTGAACATCTGTGTAACTAGTGGCGGCGCGTGGTAATTTTGACAACCGGGGCAAGCTACTGCGGGACCAA